GTCTCTCCCTGTGAGGAATACGCCTCCCGAGCACCAATGTTTGCATGCCTCACTGCTCACCCCCAAGCTGATCAGGCCTGAATGGCTCAGGCTCTTGCCAGGCCAGGTCTGGCAACTCCTCGCTGATTCTGAACCATCTCTCCATTCCCCTGACACTCAGTCTGGTTCCTCAACTCTGCCTTTGATGTTCAGGGCTCCCAGGTTGCCATATTTAATCGAATCAGTAGTTTTTTCGGGTTTTTGTTGTAAGAGGGTCCGCTGGAGGCATCTAAGTACTCCACCATCTTGGCCCCGCCTCCTCCATACGGTTTTCAATGGCAGGTTTTTTGGAAGTACATCGCCAGGCCCGTCTTCTGAGGTACCTCCAACTTTTTGGTTAGCAACTGAGCGCATTAACCATCTGCACCACCCCAGGACTCCCTACCCTAATTTAACCAGTCCCTTTTTGTTGAAGATTTAGGTTGTTTCTGATGTTGCCACATTATAAGAGTGTTGGGATAAGCACCCTGGCATCTAACCATGATATGATATTAAAGGTTATTTTCTTGGGGTACATTCACAGAGGCAGAATGTGCAGCTCAAAGCCTGTGTCAAATTGCCTCCAATAAAGGCTGTACCCGCTAGTTCTCCTCTCAGGTCCTTGAGCCTTCATTATCTTTGTGGGCTGGCTCTTACAGCCTGTTCACTCTGATCAAGATCTTGCAGGCATATTGCTTTATCCTGGAGAAGCTACTGGAGAATGAGGAAACTCAAATTAATGGCTTCTGCATCATTGAGAACTTCAAGGGCTTTACCATGCAGCAAGCTGCTGGGCTCCGGCCTTCGGATCTCAGGAAGATGGTGGACATGCTCCAGGTGAGGTCTGAGAACCCTGTCCTGCAGGAGCCCCTCACAGGTCAGGAGGTTGGAAGGCTGGATCCGGTTTCCTGGTTTCATGGTGCTAGAAGGGACCTGAGAAGACAGCCACCTGGTGCCATTAAAGAGTAGTAACAACCACAATAACCACAATCCCAACCACATACACTTGTATGATGGATGACAATTTGCCAAGTATTCACACTCATTATTTCATTGTGAGCCATTCCTCCCTGCTTCCCTGCTTCATTTTACAAACCTGGAAATGTAGGTTCAGAACTTTAAGTGACTTCTCAAGGTCACACAGCTATAAAGTGGCAGAGGCAGTCTTGAACCCACATCTTCTGACCTCTCTCTGTATACATCACGTTGCCTCTCTTTGAATGTGAATTTATCCAGAGAGAGGGCTATCACCAACCCCCCTGACAACTGACTCCTATATATACTGATGTGTCAGGAGTTCTTTCTTAGAGCTAACCTTAAACCTGTTCTTTGTGTATCTGGGAAAGGAGC